CTGGGAGGATCACTTGAGCTCAGGAGTTCGAGATCAGCCTGAGCAAAAGTGAAACCCAATGTCTACAAAAAATACAAAACTTAGCCAGGCATGGTAGAGCGTGCCTGTAGTCCCAGCTAGTCAGGAGGTTAAGGCAGGAGGATCACTTGAGCTCAGGAGTTTGAGGTTGCAGTGAGCTATGATGACACACCACTGCACTCTAACCAGAGCAACAGAGCAAGACTCTGTCTCCAAAAAAAGAAAAGAATATTATTTGAGAGATCAAACTAAGAAAAAGAATATGAAAATAATGGCATAGAAAGTAACAAAAAAATTAAAAGTAGAAAGCTAAAGCTTCTTATTAAAATTATCAATATACTGGTGTACTGTAGCAGCACTGTAAATATAAACTGATATCATGAATTAAGAAAACATGATATATAAAAATCCAATTTTACATAATGAAGTACTAATAGGAGTTGATATTACAAAATGATACTTGGTTTATAAAAGGATTCAACACACATTTTCTAAATGGTTATTTTCCTCAGTCTATTTAACAGAGATTTAAAATGTATAAATTTTAATTTCTCTTTGAGACAGTGATCCAAGCTTCTTCCCTTGACGATGTTACCAGTTCATACTTTGTTTCAATAACTTGTCCCTCCACAGAAAGTAGGTACAGTCTCTTCACCAATACACTCAGGAGTACTGTGGTCACCATATATGCAAACCTAGATAGGAAGAAAGTCAACTAGTTACTAAATATTAGAAATTATACTTCAATTATATAGATTGCTCATTCTTATTAACAATGATCATCAAAATTCTAAGTACAGAGTCTGGAATCTTTTTCCTTCACTTTACCTCAACTCTGGGCATTCCTGTGTGCCTGAGAATCCAAGTGAGGAGAAAGTTTTCCTTGCTGATTCATCATCAAACCGATCTGGATCAAACCTAAAAAGAAAATTTGAGGTTAATTACAATATAGCACAATATATAGTCAATATATAAAAATCACAAGTTTACATATTGACACTAAAAGAATACAGGTATGTAATAAAGTTAAAAATCTACTGAAAATACAAAATGCTGTTGCATTATATTTATATATCACCTATTCTCTTGCTGTTTCTTATTTTGTTATTTCTAAACAATAGATGTAAAATACATTTCTCAGACCTATCAAAGAATGAGATTATAACATGGTTTATATCATTTTATGAAACATAAGGATAAATCACACAAAATGACATAATGAATAAATTTAGGACCTGTTACATGAGACCACCTGATCAATATGTGAAACATTTTTTTTTTTTTTTTTTTTT